CCCCCGCCGCCTCCCCCTGCCATCCCCTTGTAAGCAAGTTGGAGTTCCAACTCAGACATGAACTCCAATCTAAAAATAATTTCAGCCCCCCCCACCCTTTTCCTCCAACTGCATGTGGGGAAGGCATCTAGGGGTACCTTTTCTCAATACGCACCTTGATCTCTGGAGACTTTACCTGGGAAGGAAGAGTATTTGTCAGGAGGTTGGTTGAGGAATGTTCGGTTCATTCTCAGAGACCAATTCCAATCCGGGAGCTGCCATTTTCCAGAAGTGCAGGAGCTAGGAAGGCATTTGTTCGCATGCTTGCTAACAGGCCCGGCCCTGTTCTAAAGCTTTGTTTCGCTCTTGCTACCCTCCTCTAAGGTGGGCACTACGGTGACTGCCATTCTGCAGAGGCTCATCCCAGATCACACAGCTCGTGAGGGTCACAGCAGCACCGGGACCCAGGTCTGACTCAGGAGGCCACGTGCTCCTCGCAGGTCCAACCCAGCCATACACCGAAAGAATTTCCCTTTACCCTGCAACTTTTCCAGAGGCAGAGCTGACAGAGTGGCCAAAAGTGGTCTCCAAACTCTCTTAGACAAGGTCACTTGGGGAGTTGGAGAAAACTGCACATTCCTGGGCCTGGCCCCAGAAATGTTGATTCAGTCCATCTCAGGCAGGGCACTGAGAAGAGCATCTTAACAAACACCTCCCAGCTGGGGCTGACGCAGGTGGCCTGAGGAAAGCTGGCCAGGAGGCTCTCAGAGAAAGGGACATGGGACCTTGGTGCCAGGGGTCTTGAGCCTTCAGACCAGGGTACTTTTCCCAGCACCACCAGATCCTGACATGCCTTTAGAATTTAAAGTGCCCACAGGGAGCTGAATGCACTCGTTAATTCTTTGGAAACCAGTCATGGATCATATCTAGTAAACCTCTTGACTCTTCGCTTTATCACTCGCCAATCCTCTAAGCCGGAATTTCCTGTCTTCTCTGCTGGGGTGTGGAGTGGGGGGACTCTGCCCACAGCAGCTGGCAGAACGGGTTCACTCAGCATCCCTGCTGCACTTGGCTCTGGGGGACACAACGACGAACGGAGGACCAGCTCCTTCCACTGAGTGCCCGGCACTTGGGCTCCGAGCCCACATCTGGGCTCCAGAAAGCCCAGTCAACTCAACGACAAGCCAGAGGCGCTTGCTGATGTGCAGAATCCTTTCTACCAGGTCAGCAGTTCCCTTACTCTGAGCTGCAGGCTCACAAACTTCTGAAAAAGGATGGGGATGGTCCAGGATCACCCCTCTGGGGTTCTCGTTCTCGTCCATCTGGGGCTCCAGCTGGCACCCCACCCTCTGCTAAGGGGTCGGGGCGGGGAAACCACCCAATTATCTGTTGAAAACCATGGACCCGCCCTTTTCCCTTCCCCCAAAGCACAAAGAGGGATTCCAAAGTGTTTGTGTATTTTAATAAACTTTCCTTTATTAGGTTACTGACTATTATCAACCATCATAAAATAGAACAGGAGTTTCAAAACTGTACAGGCCACAAGGCTCTGGGCTGAGAGGAAAGAAGGGTGGGGTCGAGGTTCAAGGAGCTGGGGGAGCGGGAGGTGCAGAGAGATGGCAAGGACCCCGGTGATTTGTCCAGCGTCTGTGGGAGACGGCTGGGTCAAGGCGATAAGGCTGGGATGTGTATAAGTGAGACCCTCTCATGTGTAACATTCATCATAACATGACCCACCCCGAAACAGGAGTGAGGAAAATCTTTAAAAGTCTTACGGGTTAGGTTCCCCCCACCTGCTGGGGGACATAAAACCTCCAAATAATAAGGGGGTAATTTACATTCCTCACCCAGTCTTGGCACCAATTTTGTGCTTTAAAAAATATACTCCACTGGAAGACTTGTTTTTTCTTTGTTTTTAAAGGTACCCTACAGCAGCCGTTTAAAACATAATTCTTACAGACAAATATATATGCATATATATTAAACATTTTAAACAAATAAAGTCATCTACTGTACCTGTACAGAAATGAACAGAAGGCAGATTCTAAGAGAGTCGACTTCAAGACATAAGAAATGGTGACTGTGGCGGCAGGTGCTGGGGTCTGCCACACGGGGGAGTCGTGCATGGGAGGGTGCGTCCCTCTCCTGCTGGCTGTCCGCCCCGACCCCCCTGCCCCACCTCACGGCTCTGGGGCACCATGATGAACCCGGACAGGGGCACCAAGTGGAGACCTGCACTGGCTTCTAGGACACGCAACTCCGCTCTGGTCTCCCCCACCCCACCCTGCCCCCATCCTCTCAGGGGATGGAGACTCACTCATCCTCCCGTCTCGGTTCGGGTGGTCCTCAGGGAAGCTAGAGCTTCCGAGGATGCACGTAGCAAATCTCAGGTAGGAAAGCAAAAACAAAACCCAACCCATACTGAAAAACCCCACAGAAGACTAAAGAAATAAAACCACACACAAAGACGGATGAGCCCTAGCGATGGGTGGCTGCCTGGAGAGATACGGGGAGCTGCCCCTGCCCATGCAGACGGGTCCCCCAAGGCACTCATATTGCACGTGAGGCTGACGCCCCCTCAGGGGCCCACTCGGGCACTCGGAGCAGAGCCCCCTGGAAACTGTAGGTCAAGGGACCCAGACAAAGACACCCCTGTGCCCACGTGGGGACACACGACAGACACGACCCAGAAGAAAGGCCAGGTGAGGCACACACATCCCAGGGAGGGGCAGGTGGAAGAAAAGCAACAGAACACTCCAGAGAGAGGTGACCCGAACAAGGTGTCCTTTCTAAGTGGAATAAATAAATGGCTTTTGTTATTGTTAAAAGAATAAATACAGGGTACGGGGGCACCGACAGCCAGGACTGATGGGTGCTCACGTGCCTGGGGAAGGTCCAGGTTTGGTTTCTGCCTCGGTGGCCACAGTGAGCTCCCGACGTCCTGAGCTTCGTCCGGCGCGGCTGCCCCGCTGGGCGGGCACCGGCCCTCATCTAAGCACCTCTTAGCACCCCCGGGATCTGCTCTCGGCGCCGTGGGACCCGGCAGGTGCGGGCGCACCCAGGCCACCCTGAGAGCAGATCGGAGCTCAGTGTAGGAGTTTATCCTCTGTGTCCTCTTCCCAGGAGGGGCTGTGAGGCGGCATGCGGGGAGCTTCTGCCAGTGTCCGGAAGGGGGACAGAGAGGCCCGTGTCCAGAGCAGTCTGTGTCCGGCGGGGCGGCCGGAAAGGCTGCAGAGGAAAGGCAGGACTTCCATGCCGCAGACGGCGGTCCAGGGCGCGAGCGCGGCAGTGGCTCAGTGAGTTGGCACCGGGGTGGCCGGGGGCGGCCGTGCTGGCGGTCCCGGGTGGGGCATCACTGGTAGTGGAGGTAGGCCTTGAGGGAGGTGGGCAGTGGCAGCGCGTGGATCTCACCCAGGCGCTCCTTCCCCAGGGCCAGGCGCACCGAGCGGCGGCAGAGATCCATGAGCGGCAGGGGCTCCGCTGCGGAGACGGTGGAGAGATAGAGGACGCTGGGTTAGCACAGTTTGTTTCTAGAGAACAAACAACACTGACAACAGCAATAGCATCATTAATACCAGTTTTAACGCCCAGATGAGATGACTCCAGATTAACTCATTTTACACTTTAAATGAATTGTTAGTTGCTAGCACGGAGAACTCACTGGACCAGGTCCCTTTGTAAGCCCTCATTTAATCCTCACAATGGTTTATTATGAATGATTTGATAATCACAGGGAGATATACCATGACCATCATCCCCATTTTGCCAATGAGGAAACTGAGGGACAGAATCCAAATAACTTGCCCAGGGCCACACCACTGGTAGGACACGGAGCAAGCATTCCAAGCCAGGCCGTCCCTGCTCTAACCCATCAAACTAGAGGCCCCCTTAGTGCACGTCCATCCGGGACACACAGGATGGACTCTCCCCTGCACGTACCCCCAGCACCAGACCCCACGCGGACCTTTAGGAGGGGAATCATGTTGTATTAACCCAACTGCTCAGGGGGACTGTCCTCCAGTCCCTCTTACAGCTGAGGGCGCTCAGGCGCAGAGGAGATCAAATTGCTAGGGCTACAGGCTGGGATCCAATTCCCAGCAGTCTGGGCCCAACTCACGGCAGAGCTGCCTCAGGAATCTGGATTCGAGAAGGGCTTCTAGCTGCAGCCTGCAAGGGCACCTCTGTCCTTGTGTCCCGGAGGGCCTGGGGCCTAGCTTCCTGCAAGAGAGACTCCGTGCAGCCCGCATCTCAGATAAATTCTCAGCTCCAGAAGGAACCAGAAAGTCATGCCCTCCAAGGCCCTGGAGGCTGCTGGGAGCATGGTGGGCCCTGCTCACCCCGGACCTCTTGGAGCTGACTCCTCCTAGGTCTCGTACAGGTGAGCACACCGAAACAGCCTGGGGTCCCCCCACGGTGTCCTGGACAGGCAAAGAGGTGAAATGAGGGCATATGTGGCCTCATCCACGGTCTCCCCCAACTCCTTTGTGAACAAAATAAAGGTCAGACTGAAAAACTGAGAAACCCACCATTTCCCTTGAGATCCCATTCCACCAATAAAAAGTGGATGCAAGTTCTGTAATATTCACCAGTGTGTCTCAGCATATTAAAAATAACATTTAAAAATTCAGTTATTGGGAATTCCCTGGCGGTCCAGTGGTTAGGACTTGGTGCTTTCACCGCCGCGGGCTTGGGTTCAACCCCTGATCAGGGAACTAAGATCCCGCAAGCCACATGACTCAGCCATAAATAAATAAATTAAATTAAACTAAATTAAATTAAATAATTAAAATTCGGTGATTGAAGGCCAAATCCTAAGGCTGGGGCGTTGGGGGAAATGGGGAGCGACTGAGTAGGGGTTCCCTTTGGGGTGATGAAAGCATTCTAAGATGGCCTGCAGCAATGGCTGCACAGTTGTGAGCATGCAGGAGACCACTGCATCATGCGCTTTAATGGGTGAAACGTACTGCATGTGAATTATATCGCAATAAAGCTGCCATTAAAAAAAAAAAAGTGCTTCCCTGGTGGCGCAGTGGTTGAGAGTCCGCCTGCTGATGCAGGGGACACGGGTTCGTGCCCCAATCTGGGAAGATCCCACATGCCGCGGAGCGGCTGGGCCCGTGAGCCATGGCCGCTGAGCCTGCGCGTCCGGAGCCTGTGCTCCGCAACGGGAGAGGCCGCAACGGTGAGAGGCCCGCGTACCGCCAAAAAAAAAAAAAAAAAAGAATACATCTTAGGCTTGATAGTGCATTTACTAAATTCCAGGCTTTAAAAGAAGACAAACGATGGCTCCTCATCTCCCGTGGGGCCACAGGACACAGGATGGAAGTAGCCAATGTTTTTCATGGAAAAGCTTTGAGACGGGGCCTTCCCTGGAGGCAGGACGATGAACTAAATGACCTTCCATCTTTGCGGGTCAAGGATTCCACAGACCTGGTGGGTTGGGCTGGGATCCTCCCACCTGCCAGCCCGCAGAGACTTGGGTCTCCTTCACTGGCCCTCGACCTGCCTCAGTGGCCCCAGATCTGGCCCCTCACTTTCACCCTGCACAGCAGCCTGACCTCGAGCAGATGGCTCCCTCCACCCAGGCCTCAGTTTCCCCAGCTGGAAGATGAAGGATGTGGACCAAAGGCTCCCCGGAATCCTACGGGCTGAGCTCCTGAAGGCCAGCAACGCCTCACAGCAGCTCTCGGCCGGACCTGTGGTTGAGGAGTGAGTGGTCCTCTGAGCGATCGAGGGGGGATGTTCAGCTCCTCTCTTCCACTCAGAAGCTCCCCTCCATCCTCCTCCGGCACCGCCTCCCACGAGGATGTGGCTCAGCCCCCACTGGGAGGCAGAGGGGGCGGGCTGGGGGAGGGAGGGCCGAGAGGGAGGTCCCATCACCACCTCTTGGCTAAATGGGTTTCGGGTCAACTTACCAACACCCTCAGGAAGAAACGTTTCTAAACAGCAGGTCATTCCCACCCCACCGCCACTGATCCTGTGGGAGGCAAAACAGCGATGTCCAGGGTCATGGTCTGATCGCAGAGACCACACGTGAGGCTACAGAAACGGACATGGGCACGGTGCCAGGGAAAACATCTGTCCCAAAGATTTTGGTTGGTCGCTCACAGGGCCCAGAGGGCCTCCCCGACGACCTCAGTCCTTTCGCCTGGGGGGCTGCAGGTTCTGCATCTGGCTCCATCCACGTGGTTTGTGCCCACCACTCTTCCGCAGAGGCACGAGGGGCCTCTGGCCACCACGCCCACCTCTGAGAAGCCCAGGTGCCCGCTCCTGTGCATGGTTTATATGAATGAGAAGGGGTGGTGCTCAGGGACCAGGAAGCGAGGCCAGCGCTATTCCTGGGAGCAGAAGGTCAAGCAACTGGACGAGGCCACGCGCCCACGTCCATATCTCCAGGAGAAGCGGCCACCTGGGGGCCTGTTTGAACACGCATGGCCGGGGCCACCAAGAGACTGCAACCCAGCCGGAGCCCCAGAGCCCGGCGCCGGGTCCAGTTCACAGGCAGTGAATGAACTTCGGGTCTGTGAGGTCAAGGATGAACGTCTCAAGTCAGGAAGTGCCCGGTTCAGCGACGTTCCCGCCTGCCGCCTTCACAGCTGCTGGGACTGGCCCTACGCTCCCTCCTGCAAGCAGCTTGCCGTGAAAACGCTCCAGAAATGTGTTCTAGAAAGTCGTGGGTGGATGACCATCCCGGGACCTGTGTGTATTTTCCCTTTACCTCAAGGCGTTTTTACAAAAAAGAAGCAAAAGAAAACACCAACCCCTTGTCTTTGCCAACTGGGGAAGGATGCCTGACACCCAGTCAGGTAACGTGGGCACGCTTGGTTCTCTGCCCCCCGGTTCTGAGAACCTGCTGTCCTCACGTGACCTCCCCCCACCCCAGAAGGAAGGCCCTGCAGGGCAGGTTGATCAGTCCCCACCACGAGGAGCTCGCCCAGAGCCCAGCTGGAATGGGGGAAGGAAGGAGCCAGCGTCAGGTGTGGGCATCCCAGGAGGCTGGGAGGACACAGGAGGAGGTCACCAAGGCAAAAAGCAGGAACAGAGGTGGGCCTTCCCTGAACCCGCAATCATGACAAACCACACCAAATGTATCTGGGAGCCAAAGAAAGGGAGAATTTGAAAATGCTGAACTGCAGGGCAATGCTTCCTTGGTGGGAGGCACCATTAACAGCAGGAGGGAGGACCCACGGGTCAGGGACTCTCCCTTGTGTGACGGCCACTCTGTTGCTTGCAAATAGGCCTTTTCCATCTTGCATCTCCAGGGAGCGTGGTGGGCAGACCTAGGGGCTAAGCTGGGCCCTGCCCCCCCCGCCCCCCACCTACAATGACCATCACTGCCCCTTCACCCCAGAAAAGAGCAAGGTGACACAGGTTGCAGCCTTAGCCCTGGAAGTCTTGAGCCCCTAGAAAGAGTCAGAACCAGTAGCCTGTGATCAGAGGCGGTTGGACAGTGGTGGAGGTCACATAGGGACACGCTGCCTTTGCTCTGGCCTCGGCCAGCTCAGCCCATGGCCCCAGCACTGGGGCAGAGACTCTGCAGGGGAGGGTACACCTGGCGTCCCGGGGAAGGCGGGCTGGGAGGACAAAATGCCCAGCGCAGCAGCTGGGGTGGAGGGGAGGGGGCCGGGCACAGGCCTCTGGTGACTCCGGCTGACCCGCTCTGCAAACAGCTGCTCCCTGCTGAGGTCAGGACCTGGCGCTGGGGTGGGGTGGGGTGGGGCGGGGCTGGGCTGGGAAGGAGGGAGCAGACTTTCCAGACAACCCAGGGAGCACCAACAGGTCAAAATCACCTCCAAGACTGTAAGAGCAAAGCCCGGCCCAGGCCTGACACCAAGAAGATGTATCTGGCCAGACCTTCTGTCTGTCACTGCCTGCTCCCCCTGGGTGGACCCTGACATTCCTCCTTCCTCAGCTGCAGTGGAAAGCCAAGCAAACCCTCCTGGGCAGAGGACTTGGGTGTCCCTCACTTCACTCCACAGACACTCCACCATCTGAGTGCTGGGCTCTGTCTGTCACTGTCTCATCTCCCCTGCAGGTGGTAGCACAGGGAGGGGGACGTGCTGTGGGTGGAGTAGCACTGCCCCTCCCCCCCCCAATTCAGGACCATCTGGAACCTCAGAACGTGATCTTATTTGAAACAGGGTCCTTGCAGATGTAATTGGTTAAGCAGAGGTCATACTGGGGCGGGATGGGCCCTGTCCTTATAAGAAGAGGACAGATACAGAGGAGGTCACGGGAGGACAGAGGCAGAGACTGAGCGATGCGTCTACAAGCCAAGGCATGCTGGCGTGGGACGGTCTCTCCTCCGAGCCCTCAGAAGGAACCGACCCTGCCCACACCTTGGTTTCGGACACCTGAACCGGCACAGAACACATTTCTGTTGCTTTAAGCTCCCCCGCTGGCGGCCATCTGTTCCTGGGGCCCCAGGAAATGACCACACCGCCCTCCTCTGCTCTCTGCACCAGCCCCTCCCTCAGGCTTTTGGACCCACCCCATCCTGACGACCCTCGTCAAGGTCACCAGTGATCACCTCATTGCCAAAGCTGATGGACAAGTCTCAGCCGCGAGTGTACTTGATCTGGCATCACTGTGTCCTTCTCGAAGTACCCTTTCCTCACTGGTGCTCAGGACACTACTCTCCCCTCCAGCCCCACGGCTGTTCCGCCTCTCCTTCCCCATCGTCCACCCGGTGACGCGCCCCCGGGCTCGGCCACGGCACCCTCTTCCTTCCCCTCCTTGGTGACCTCATCCGGGGGTTGCAGGTTTCAGCTCCCTCCCCACTGACCAATGTCCTGGACCCTGTCTCCAGACCCGCAGAGCCACCAGGATGTGTCACTTCCCCGCATCCACGGCACCCACCCTGGCCCTCACCGCCATCACCTCTCCCCTGGACAACCGTCACGGCTCCTCCCTGACCTCCCGGCTGCCACTCTTGCCCCTACGGTCCATTTCCACACAGGAGCCAGAGTGACCCTTCTAGGACATGAGATCTAACACCCTGAGTGGCTGGGGATCCTGCCCCACCCTCACGGGGTTTCCCATCCAGATCCTCCAAAGTCGGCCAGCAGTGCAGACTGGGGCTCTTTCACGTCTGACCAGGAACGGGGAGGCGAGAAGCCAAGGGGGCCCCGGCACTGCCTGGCATTATGGTGGGGAGAGAGGGGCGTCCTCATCAGTAACCAAGACTGTCGAGGGGGCCCAAGCCTCTGGGCACTTCTGGTCCCCCCCGCCCCCGGGCCCAGCGCAGGGGTAGCCTCTCGTAGTGCCTCTGCCCATGCTACCCCTCTCCCCCTCAACCCCCTTTTAAGTTTCCCAAACGAGAAAAATTGCGAAAGCATCTGACCTCCCATCTTATGCAGAGCTGACAGGGCATCTACTGATGATGCCCGTCTGGGCCTCCAGGACTGTTTCCACAGAACTGCTGCTGAGCCTTGCCCTGACTCGGCAGGGGAACAGTTCTGCTTGCTGGTGCCCTGACTTGCCATGGGGGGAACAGGCCCCAGCCCCCTCCCAGCCGCTCCGGGCTCTGTGTTCTGCCTTGGAGCTGGGCATGTAAACAGTGAAGCCGTGTGAACCCCCAGCACTGATGGACTTGTTTCCGGAGGGGGCAGGGTTGCCCTGTTCTTGTAGAGGCCAACAGTCTCAGAGGCCTGGCAACAAGGCAGTGGACCCAACAATTCACCCATCTGTCGGCACACAGTGGGCATTAAACTTCCTGGGTCCGCGGTCACTCTCTGTTGGGAAGAGGCAGACAGAGCTGCAGGCAGGGTCCTCTGAGACCCTAGGTCCTGGGGCTTCCAATCCCTGCCCATCCCCGCACGGGGCAGATGTGGCTGTGGACCTTCTACCCTGTTACCTGGAGAGACAAGACTCACAGCACTCACCCTGCTGGTTCCCTAGACCAGGTCTGAGGTTACTTCCTCAGAGAGGTTACCTGCTGGATGCACACCTAGCCGCCCCTGCCAGGAGTCCCAGGACCTAGGGTGCTGGCTGCACAGGTGAGGCGACGCCCCGCCTGGCTGTGGGCTCACTGTCACCGTCCAGCCAAAGCCTGAGAGGGGCAGTGAGGGAAAGGGGGGGGGCGGGGGGCTCCAAAGAGAAACATTTT